GAAGAAGAATCACATCGATAGCCCAGCACTTTGTCATCATGTTGAACCTCAAGCATAACTGGTGGGCGATAAAATTCCAGGGAAAGAAAATTCATGAGCACGGGCGAGTGTGGGGCTGAATCACGTAGCAGAATGAAACGATTGTCGACGTAGCGCTCATGCCAGATCACACCGATATCGGGCATGCGAAAACGCAGAGAACACATTGTCTGGTGCCAGAAGAAATCCTCAACCGTGGCAACCAGATTGCAGAGCGGTGGCGCGGCTGGTGATCCCATAGCGACTCCCCGTTCTTGGCGGAACAAGTATCCGTTGATCTCGAAGTGACTGTTGTCAAGGACAAAGTCCAGAAGGTGCCGGAGATCTTGTTCACGAAAAGTTCGAGGGATCTTTGTTTGACGGCGCCATTTTCCTTTGAACATACGGCGTCGATGATCAGACTTTACTTCGAACACTGACCATTGAGAGGATCTGCGAAGGCCAACAACTTGATCGTACCGATGGAGAAGCACCTGTAGTGCCTGGTGGAAGCGCTCCGTAGGAATGGACGTGAAGAGGCCTGACAGGTCTTGAGATACCAGGTGGATGTATTCATCGGGATCAGCCTTTCACAGCGACTCCACAGCTGCTGGACAAGTTCTTGTACTGAAAGTTGACTTGCAATGTCGGGAAAAGTGGCTTTGGTAAGTTCAAATATGAGGGCGCCGAAGACCGTGAGGAAGGGAGCTGCCCACGTGCGAAAGAATGAAATGATGGGTCGTGCTTTCTGCCAGTCCTTGGTCGGCTTTGGAAGGATGCGAGCTGTGGGCAACGGTGCTTGAAGTCGAAGTCCCCATGCATATCGCTGACGTAGGAGGGAAGGTACCGTAGTCACCACTTCAGAGCGAAAAGATGCTGCGGATTCACGACATAGCGAAAAGACATCTCCCGAGCAAAAGGTCTTCCGCATCAGTATGGCAAACAGGGACGGACAAATCACATGTGCGCGAGAGGGGAAATGATCCGCGGGAGTTACAACCCACGATGACAAAGAAGCCACGGTGCGCTGCAATGATGTCGATGACCAATAAGCACGATCTTGAAGGTTAGATCGATGAGTGTCCATCAATTGAGTCAAGACCGGCTGCAGATCAACAAGAAGACTGGAACCATGCACATGCCAGCGACGAGCAAGTTTGCGAAGTTGCGTAGTGAAACGTTGATGTAACAAGTCGACATCACCGAAATACTGATCCTTCATTGACGCGGCCATGATTTCCATGCCAATGTCCGCATTGATGCGTGAGAACTCATCAACCATTACAGCATGTCCATGTGCTCGGTGTATATGGTGATCATCGATGTCCAAACAGCGACACGGAAAAGATGTTTCAGGAGTCCATCTGCGCTGCCATGTGCGGTAGTTGTAGATCTTGTCGCCCAACGTGGCACTGCGAGTTTCCACCACCCGGATCTTTGGAAGGAAAAGGGAGGGAAACAAATCTCGATGAGAAGCAATCCAGCTTTGTAACCATGTGCCAAGTTGAGCTTTCCAATTCCGGACATGTAGAGGCGGTAGGAGTAGTTGTGTCAAAGTGGTGGGTGATTGTAGCTGTCTTTTGCGTAACACCTGGGCGAGGAGTTTCTGTGCCTTGGAACGGAAGGGCTCGTTGACAAAGACGGAGAGCCGCAGAAAGTAGTAAAGCTGAGTAGGAGGGAAAGCTGCCGACAGAAGGTCACGCATGGCTTGGAACGATGCACCTGTATTGGATCCCAGCTGATAGAGAATAGAGTAATGGGCCTGAATGTCATCCAGCATGTCGGGACGAAGTTGCCGTTGGAGATCCGGATGTAGTCGTCGTCGAAAGCGTTTGTGCAAACCGAGGGAAGTGGGAGACGACAACGAATGACGTCGAAAGTCAACGAGATGTTCCCGGAAGCCCACCTTTCGTAGAAGTCTGTGTACCCAGGGTGCATTCAAATGCGGGCGTAGCAGGTATTGCCACTTGCTTTCCTGGACCCAAACCGAGGAAACGGGAAGTTTGATCTCAACCGGAACAGCACAGAAGAGCCAGTAAGTATTGGATCGCTTCCAGTAGTGAAGCGCGGGTTCGAAGAAGGCATGACGTCCCCGAAGTAGTTGTAGAAATTTGCGACTGCGTGAGTGTTCACGTCGTAGAACATCCTGATCAGTCGCACCAACGTAGTAAGGTGTGTGCCATGGGGAAAGTCGGATATAGACGCACGGTTGTTGATGATGACCTGGATCGTGAATGAAGTCATAGAGGTCCGGAAACCGTGCCCGCAATGAGCGAAGATGTCGCGTGTCGGCAAAAGCGGAGTGCATAATTTCACACAGGAGCCTTGTAGAAGTGAAGGACTTCAAAGAACGGTGGAAAGTAGCCATGATCTTGGGAAATGAGACGTTGCAAGAAACTGATCAATAAATAGGCAGTGCACCGACATCTATGAAGCTCATACCTGTTGGCCACAGTGCGTTGAGAGTGTGACATAGCGTGATTCGGAATCTGAAGGGCAATCCGGACCACAACTAAGACTTCCAGAATGAGGCCCAACCACGGTAGTTGTGTGATTGATTCGTACTCATCAGCTGGTATCGACGGTGGTGGTAGTCCAGGGAAGCAGTATTGCCAGCACGTAGAGAACATGGTCAACGAATGTAAAAAGTTGTCCAGAGACTGCCATTGTGCAACATCATCATAGATTCCACAGCGGCGAAGCTCAGCCAACATGGTGAAAATGCAACCAATGAAATCTACCATAAGGCGGCGACATGGATACAAGCTGCACAGACAATCACGCACAAGGCAATGCAAGCACAACCAAGCACAAGATCAAACTGATGCAACGCAAAAAGATGACGGACGAGTTTTAACCTTGACTCATCCGTGACACGGTTGCCGCTCCGGAATCTAATGACTTGTTGCCGTTGAGCCGGGACGGGTGATTGGCCCACTTGACCAGTGACGTCAAAGTTGTGGTTGTGGGCGATTGCTTGAGATAAAGGCGCGGCTGGTCACTGGTCCATGTGTAGTACTTGACAACTTCTTCCGGCGCGCTGTGCATGGTGAGCAATTGTGACGCTGCCGGCTTGGACGGCGGTGAAGACACTCCGTGAAGAGACTGAATGATCCGGGGTTGCACCGCGCTATCAAACGACTTGCCATCAAGGGCCGCTGCGCTGGCCGTAGGGAGGAAGCTGGCAGGTGACGAGGATTGTGTGTGGTTGACCGGTGGCGGTGTAACCAACTCTGCATCATCTTTCTGGCTTGCCATCGTGGGGGAGGTCGAAGCGCGCAGCGATGCTGAATACTGAGCCTGGAGCAGCTCATGCGCACGATTTAGATCATTGTACTTCTTGACCATGTCATCTGTCTGGGTGGAAGGTGTGAGAGAAGCGTGGTGTTGCTGAAGAAATTGAAGTACCAAGCTGGCCAAATGGTCATGAACCTTGATCCGCTGATTGAAGTCATCGATGTTGAGACCCAGCGAGTTGGCAAGGTCCTTTTCCAGGGTGAGCAGGTTGATCGACTGTGATCGTCGTAGTAGTTTGGAACAGGTACTCCAAAGCAAGGCCTCGGTGCGAGTGCGAAAGCCTTCCCACGTCACGAATCTGCCGTGAGCGAACGGTCGGAGCAGCCAGTTGGTGAGTCCCCCATGAATAACCTGAACCAGGCGAACGTCACGAATATCCATGCCTGACATGTCGCGCAGGTTGCCATGCGGAGTGTTGGCAACGGTCATGGGTAGGCTGAAGTTGTAGAGCTGATTGACATCAAACATGCCATCTCCAGGTGTCCAGTCAGGCGATGGTGTAAGCCAGGCTTTCTGAGGACGAACCGGTAGAGCCGCAGGAGGTCCCGGTGGCGGTGTAGGTTGCGGGGTAGTGACCGGTGGTGGCATCACGGGTGGCATGAACTTCGTTGGCGTGGGGTCTGGAGGGATCGGCATCATGTAGTTGATCGCTGGATGTTGGAATTGCTGTGTGGGACTATGAGTCGATTGAAAATTGGTGGGCATCATCGGGAAATTGTTGGCAGAGTTGTAGCCGGAATTGTGTTGCCAAGATACCAGGTTGTTCCAATCCATGCCTTCCGAGACGTGGTGGTCATTGTGTTCACGTCGGTGTGCTTTACGAGCTTGAGGAGAAGTACTCCGATCACGTCTGCGCCGAGTCCTGGATCTATCACGATCATCACGTCGAGACATGGTTACACAATCGACTCTCAATCTTCACGCTTCCACCTTGAGAGACACGTATCAGACAACATGCAAATCCATGCAACGGCAAGGTATCAGCGAATCCAACAAATGGCAAGCAAACGCAAACATCAGCGGTGAGACGTCTCTATGATCTGACCGCTGTCTTCCCTTTAGTGAAACCTCGTTCCTGGTTAAATGTGAAATTCCGCTGTTCTATGATAAGCACGTTGAGGTCAAATTTTCCGACAGAGCCGGCCCGGGGTCACACAATGGGTACACCCGAGGATTCCCCACGAATGGGGTGTACACACTTAAACTCCAAATGGAGAGTGCTAATCTTTCGAGTACAACTGATGAGTCTCGAGTACAACTGATAAGTCTCGAGTATGATGAGCTTCGACTCGCATAACGCTTGGCTTCCCTGTAGCTACTTTAACAGGGACACACAGAAGCAACGGCAGTTCAGGGGGGGGACCAAAAGGACATTCACAAACATCACAATTGCAGGTACGTCCAGCTGATCAGGCTGGATATCACGAGTTAACAGCGAGCGTCTTCGTTGGCGCAGGACTCACTGAAACTCCCTGCGCCCCCTGCTGAGAAACCGAAAAGGTGGTGACAGGGCATTCTGTCACTCCGCACACACACACACACACACCTGCCAATCTGGCAACAGGCCGCTTTATCCAGAAATCAACAATTGAGCCCAGAACAGTCAGGCTCTGAAACTTGACAAGCAAAATGTATCACACACGGCCATGCTGCCTGCACTGTGCGGACTTCACTTGGCAAGTATCCAGCTCCTCGCGGGTGATGGGTCGCTCCACCACGGAGCTGCTCGGGCTCTTGGCGAAGCACGGCGCCGGCCGCGGCACCGCCATCACCGGCGCGTAGGTCGGCTCACGCCAGACGCCCTCCGGCACCACAGCCTGCGCAAAACAAAGATGCGGGGGAGTGCTTCGACCAAAGCGGCCATGTGCATCTCCTCAGAGCAAGTAATCCTCTTCACCAAGGCCGAGCGACGGGTACAGTGCGCTGCGTTTGCTGTACTTGGCTTTCAGTCAAATAGGACCTTGGCTTGCGAAAGAACCCACCTGAAAGTTGCATGTGAAACACGACTCTCAATAAGAACGGCTGCATAGATTTGATGTCTGGATTCGGACTACAAAGCTCCAGATCTCATCTTCAAGGCAGTCACGAGGGAAGAACTGGCAACTGGATAGCCATGGACCCATGTTTTGTGGCTGCAGCGATGGCGCTTTGGGGGGGGGGGGGAAAAAATGGTAAAAGTAGGGGGCCTGGGGGGTGGTCTGTTGATGGTCCCCTGTTATGGTTTTTATGTTCATCTCAAATCTGTGTTCCCCCTTATTCGTTTTTAAAAGAGGGTTTTTAGGGAGCTTATTTATCGTTTTCGTTAAGGTAATCATTTTGGTAATTGCCCCCCTTGTTCATTGTTGGGCTGGGGGCCGACATTTTTTTCATTTGAAAGAGTTAACCCTTTTAGTAGTTATCAAGTTCTGGGGTGTTGGTGGTGTATTTGTTTTGTTAGTGTTGGGTTTCCCGTCGACCGTGCCTCGGCTTCGCCATCTTCGTCTTCCAGTCTGGTTTTTTGTCAGACACTCAGAGTAAAGGGACAGTGTGCCGACAGTGGATTGATGGTCAAGGTTGAGTCAGAGCAGTGTCAGCAAGAGCGCTCTCATGTTGATGCTTGTTACACACTGCATTTTTCACATCAAATGACAACTAAAGAGAGTTGTCAAGATTTCCTGTGAATAAGTAGGACGTTTTCCACATCAACTGAGATGTCGCCAAAGCGTGTGAATGAACCCATGGGTGATGACACCGCTGACGAGCAGACGGTGGAGGTGGAGACGATGCTGACGGATGAGCAGTTTGCTCATGAAGTGGCACTGGAAGAAATGGCAGTGGCTGTGATGAGCGAAGGAGAGGAAGGAGAGGAAAGCGAGAGTGAAACAGAGGAAGAGGAAGACTCAGTAACGGAAGACCTCTACGAGAATGATGTGTCGGTTGAGATGCTGACTCAGGCGGTGGAGCAGATGAGCCTCAACCAGTTGAGCCATCTGCAACAGCGGTGGGCGACCAAGACGGATGAAGCCAAGGATGTCGCCAAGCACATGGAAGAAAGGCTCTGTGTTGTTGCTGAGAAGAGGCGGAGCATCCTGTCAGCCCAAGCGAAGTCATTGGCAAAAGCCAAAGCCAAGGCTCAGACCAAGGCAAAGGCGATGGCAATGAAGCAGGCAAAGCGTGCCCTCATGAATGTCACAGTGCGTTACCGTGGACGTGACTTTGTGATTCAGGTGTCCAAGTATGACCGCATCAAGCAGGTGAGGGAGGAGTTGAGACGTCGCTTCCCTGATACCTTCGTCAGTGACACCATGGTCAGGAAGTTGGTCTTCTCTCACAATGGCAAGGTTCTGAATGACACATTGTCAGCAACCAGAACGGAGTTGGGAAGTCACGGTGTGGAAGATGGAAGCATCATCCTTGCCATCATGCCAGGCATCAATGATGAAGAGGAGGATAACAAGGACAACAAGAAGGACGGCTACCCAGAGGACGACGGTCAGAATGACAATCAGGACGACAAGGACAACAAGGACATCAAGAAGAAGAACAAGAAGAAGAGCAGTGACAAGTCCAAGCCGAGCGGTTCGGGCGCGTCCAGTTCCAAAGACTTGAACAAGCAGACCGACAATCTGACCGACTTCATCATCATCTTGATGGAGGACGAGGTGAAGACGAATAAGTTTCACTTCCACTATGGCAAGAGCAACACTTTCAAGGAGGTCGTGACCGCTTTCCAGCAGTTGGGCTTGAGCGTCGGTTGCGTCGGCACGGTCGGGGAGTATGCCTTTAACCTCACCTACGGCGACTCTGTGGTAAGTGAGTGGGAGACCATTTCGTCCCTGTCACCACAGTTTCCCTTCTTCCTGAAGGTTCGCACACTTGGTGGGGCACTTGTCCGCAACCACGTGACGAAGGAGAACTTGAAGAAGACGCTGAAGCAGAAGGCCGTGACTGTGCTTCCCAAGATGGAGACAGTTAGTGAGGAGGTGACCTTCCCTGAGTGCTTCCTGACGTTCCTTTCGTCGCAGGAGGAGAAGATGACAGAGGTGTCGGTCTTCCTCAGTCAGAACGTCCCGCTCATCCGTCTCGCTTTGAAGACCACCAGCGACGCCAACTTGAAGACCATGCGTGACATTCTCTCCACTCGTCTACGCGGTAACCGTGGTGAGTCGTCCGAGATGAAGTTTCTCCAGTCGGCGGACTTCTTGGTGCCGTCACTGCTCATCTTGGAGAGCGCTTACAAAAGCGTCAAGAACCTTCACATCCGCTTCTCCAAGCTGTTGGTGGAGTGTGCGATTGAGATGTACTCGGGCTCGGAGAATTTTGACGGTACTATGAAGCAGGTAAATCACTTGCTGTTGCGCGACATTGAGACAGAGCAGAAAAACCGCAGTGAACAGGTCAGTGTCGCCAATGCTCCGTCCAACTGTGTCATCAACTGAATGACACGCAAGACATGCTGACCAGATGACCATCACCTACGACCGATGTGTTTTTTTTTGTTGTTTCTTTGTGGTGTGTTCGTTTAACCTTCTCACCCACTAGCATCCTCCATTCGTCAAACAACAGCGTATCCATACACCAAAAAAGGCGTAAGGGCATACCCATACGCCAAAAACGGCGTATCCATACACCAAAAAAGGCGTAAGGGCATACCCATACGCCAAAAACGGCGTATCCATACACCAAAAACGGCGTATGGTCATCTGGTGCTTGTGGTTCGTTGGTAGGACTCTCATTTTGATGCATCCTGTGAGAGATACTACCGTGTCTGTGGAGCGGACACTAACGACACGCCACGGTTGGGATGAGGGAGGAACAAAAAGAAAAAACGGTGCGCGCCTTTTCTGTTGATTGCTTGGAGCACTTTGAACGGTTTGAGTGCATATTTGCAGACAGGTCTGACAGGTCTGACAGGTGAGGTAGGTCTGACAGGTGAGGTGCCCGAATTGACCCCTTCTCCATTACATGTTGTTAGTGTTTGCTTCCACCGTGCTCCGAGGTTGAGAAGTCATGCCGTCCGAGCTCTACATGACTGCAGTCTATTAGGTTCTGGGATGGGTTGGGTTGGGTTTCGTTCCCTGAGCATCCTAAAGCAAACTGACAATTATCTCACTAACCAAATTTGAAGGAACCCTATACAACTCATCTTGTTTATGTTTGATGTATCCCTCTCCCCAACTGACCCTTTTTCCTGAAGGTAACCGTTGTGCTGTTTCAACATGTTTCCCATTCCTAATTTTCCCACAATCCCTATTACATAATGGTCTGGGTTTCCATGTTTCAATGTTAGTCCAAAGCCGTGTCCTTTTCCTATAGTTCATTCCATATTTGCAATAATCCACATCATAGTATTTCAAGCCACTCATGAAGGGTTGTTCCTTTAATAATCCTGTTTGAGGATTTTCCACAACCCACCATGTAGGTTTGAAGTAGTCAATGATTTCAAGGGTTTTCAAAACGATGCTGTTAGCATACTCAATCTTTCGGACGCCCGTCGTCTTCGCTCGGCTGTATTCGGTGCATGGAGGAGATGCCCACACAACATCAAACTCGCCCACATCAAACTCACGATAATCCCAACTCAAAATATCAGTATTGATATTTGCATTTTTCAAATCAAGGGAAATGACACTAAAACCCAAATCCCGAGCAACCCCACCAACCGAGCCTGTCCCTGAAAATAATTCTAATAATTTCATATTATTAGAACTATTTAGATAATTATTTTATGGAATAATGCCCATAAGGCAGTGAAGTGAAAGCATCAATATAAAACCTTTTGTTTTCATAATTACTGAGAGATTGCTTGACTTGAGACATTGAATATATTTGATGTGACTTACTCCTAATAAAATTATATGTTATTTCATGCTTTTTGTTTTGAAATAATGCTTCGTGGTAGTTCTGATACGACAGTTCTTTTTTAACTTTGTGTTTCACTACACCTTTTGATTTCTTATGTTCATCATCCTCGCCGTGAATTGTGAAGGCATAAGATTTAGGTTTGAGAGCTATGAATTTGGTAATTATCTTTGAAGAGCATTCGTCCTTAAACATTCCTAAGACCTTTTTATTAGTTTTGTCATGACATGGATGCTCAACAGGATAGTCGCTAAAATCCATGTGTTGCTTTATATCATTGAAATCCTTATAGACATCATCAGTCATTGTTTGAATTACATAACTGTCAGTATCAGTATAAACCAGTTTTATGTTTTCATTGTATTTTTTCTTAAGGACATCATAGTAAAACTGATACATATGTAATTTGCTTAAATCTAAAATGCTCATTCCTAAGAAAATCGGTTTATCCAGTTTCAGTTTTGCTTTAGTTTTCTCAACTCCGACGAGATTTTCATTAATAATAAATCTATTTTTGAAAGTTGGATTATTAACGCATTTTTCATATCTTACCTCATTATCAACCAGTTCAAAGTCCATATGGTTTCTTTTGTCTTCCATAGTTTTTCCGTACACCGCGTTGTTCATTAATTTGAATAAATCTTTCTCAAAATCGCTTTTGGCTTCTTTCCTTTTACCAGTGTTGAAGTCAATCCACGGTTTCAACCATGCCCTCTGTTGAAATTTTATTATCCTATGGACTTTACCCATTTTCATTCCCATTTTCAAATAATACTGTAAAGTCTTGATATGAACCACATATTTTTCTTTATCCTTTAGATTTAATATTAACTTACTTGTTTTCTCGTCCTTGGGACTTTTACCATCATAATATATTTTGAAGACTTGCTTTTGATAATCGGAAAGCATATTCACATTTACATTCATTATTTCAGGCGCTAGTGGATAGTCAGAGTGGAAGTCGTGCAATGTTTCGGGATATTCCAAATCAACTTCCATAATATAACCGAACTCATCGTTTTCATTCCATTTTTCAACACTGGGCGTTTTCTTTGCCCACTTGATATTTTTTAGCGGTAACTTCTGGGACATTGCCAAACCATACAAGTTATTAGCATC